CAAAAACCAGCTTTTGATTTCATTGTTTTTTTGTATTAAATTTTTTTTGTCTTCTATGTCCCAAATTTGGGCTTTTATTTTGGTGATCTCTATTCTTAGGCAAAGATGGAACATACTTCAAAACAGTAAGAGTCACCTACGAGAAATCCACAGCCAACATACAGCTTAATAGACAGAAATTTGAACCATCTCCACTGAAAACTGGAAAAAGACAAGGATGCCCACTCTCACCCCTCCAGTTCAACATAGTATTGGAAGTCCTAGCTAGAATAATCAGACAAGAGAAGGGAATTAGGGATATTTAAATAGGAAAACAGGAAGTCAAGTTATTCCTCATTGCAGATGATGATTCTATACCTTGAAAACCCAAGATAATTTGTCAAAAACTTCCTTGTACTGATAAAAGACTTTGGCAAAGTCTCAGGATATAAAATGAATGTGCAATAGTCAGTCTCATTCCCATACACCAACAATAAATAAACAGAACCTTAAATAAAAAGGACAATCCCATTCACAGTAGCCACAAAATAAATGAAATACCTTGGCATCTTCCTAATCAGAGAAGTCAAAGATCTTTACAAAGAAAACTACAAAATACTGCTCAAAGAAATCAAATACGACACAAACAAATGGAAATATGTTCCATGATAATGGATTGGAAGAATCAACATTGTTAAGATGTCTATCCTAACTGAGACAATCTATAGATTTAACACAATATCCATTAAATTACTAGCAGTATTCTTCTCAGACCTGAAAACAACAATTGAGGAATTCTTATGGAAACATAAATGACCACAAATAGCCAAAACAATCCTCAGTAAAAAACAAAACAAAACAAAATTTAAAAAAAGCCAGAGGCATCATGCTCCCAGACCTTGAGCTTTATTATAAAGTTACAATAATCAAAACAGTCTGGTATTGGTACAATAACAGGCATATAGACCAATGGAACAGGATGGAGATTCCAGAAACAAAACCTCAATTTCTCAATCAACTCATCTTTGGCAAAGCCTCCACCATCAACTACTGGGGAGAGGAGGACCTATTCAGTAAATGGTGCTGGGAAAACTGGCTGTACACATGCAGAAGATTAAAACAAGACCCCTTCCTATCACCATATACAAAAAAATCAACTCTAAATGGATCAAAGACCTAAATGTAAAACCTCAAACTATAAGAACCTTAGAAAATGCAGGAGATACCCTTATGGAAATTGGAACTGGCAATCAATTCCTGATCAAAACCCTAAGTACCCATGCCATAAGAGATAAGATAGATAAGTGAGATCTCATCAAATGAACAAGCTTCTGCAAAGCCAAATAAACCATCGACAGAGTGAGGAGACAGCCCACAGATGGGGAAAAAATGTTTGTCAACTGTATATCTGACAAAGGCTTAACATCTAGGATCTACAAGGAACTCATCATGCTGAAAAAAAAAAAAAAGCCCTATTGCAAAGTGGGCAAAAGATATGAATAGACACTTCTCAAAAGAAGACATGTGAGCAGCCAACAGATACACGGAAAAATGCTCAGCCTCACTAGTCATCAAAGAAATGCAATTAAAACCACACTGAGATACCACTTGACTTCAGTCAGGATGGCCATTATCAATAACTCAAAAAACAACAGATTCTAGAGAGGATGTGGCGAAAGGGGAACACTTGGACACTGTTGATGGGAATGTAAACTCGTACAGTCTCTGTGAAAAACAGTGTGGCGATTCCTAAAAGATCTAAAAATTGACCTCCCATATGACCTTGCAAACTCCCTACTGGAAATATACCAGGAGGAACTCAAATCACTCTGTGAAAAAGATACCTGCTCACGCATGTTTATTGCAGCACTATTTACAATAGCAAAAATATGGAACCAATTGTGCTGCCCATCAAAAGAGGACTGGATTAAAAAATGTGGTACATATACACTATGGAATATTATGCAGCCAAAAAGAAAGACAAAATTTTGAACTTTGCAGCAACTTGGACGGACTTAGAGGTTATAATTCTGAGTGATTTATCACAGAAACAAAGCACTGAGTATCACATGTTCTCACTTATAAGCAGACCTTGAACAGTTATTATAATACTATAAGAAATTGATTGGCAATAGTGGGAAACTGCCAGGTGAGAAGGGACACGCCTTATCAACAAGAGTACTGCGTATTGAATATTTGTATACCTAGCCCTGAACTACACCCCACATACTTAAAAGAAAAAAAAAATTTTAAAGAAAAATAAGTGATTTCTGAATTTCAACAAGAATTTTTTAAATGGAAGATTTTAAAAGACCAAGAATAAAACTAATCATACTCTCTCCAAATGATTCAACAATCCTACTCTTTGGTATTTACACAGAAGACTTGAAAACTTACTTCCACACAAAACCTGCACATGGACGTTTATAGCGGCTTTATTAATAATTACCAAAACTTGGAGGCAGCCAAGATGTTTTTCATTAAATCAATGGATAAATAAACTGTGCTTCATTCAGATAATAGAATACTATTCAATGCTAAAAAGATATGATCCATCAAGCTATGCAAAGACATGAACGAAGCATATTAAATGCATGCTACCAAGTGAAAGAAACCAGCCTGAAAAGGCTGCACAGTGTGTGGTTCCAAATCTTTGACATTCTCAAAAAGACAAAACAGTGGGGGTAATAAAAAGATCCTTGACTGCCAGAGATCAGGAGGGAGGGATGAACAGGAGGAGTGGAGAGGACTTTTAGGGTATTGAAATGACTCTGTGTGACACTATAATGGTGGGTACGTTTCATGATACCTTTGCCCAAACCCACACCAAGAGTGAGTTTCATGTGAACGATGGACCCTGGGTGATAATGACGTGTCAATGGAGATTGATTGATTGTAGCCGATGGACAGCTCTGATAAGGAATGTGACAGTGAGGAAGCTGGGGTGGGCAGGCAGTAAATGGGAACTCAATTTTACTGTGAACCTAAAACTACTCTTAGAAATGAAGCCTAGGCTGGGCTCGGTGGCTCAGCCTGTAATCCCGCGCCTTGGGAGGCCGAGGTGAGTGGATTACCTGAGCCCGAGGGTTCGAGACCCGCCTGAACCACTTGATGAGCCCTCATCTCTACAATAAGTCAAAAAACTAGCTGGGCATGGTAGCGCGCACCTGTAGTTCCAGCTACTTAGAAGGCTGAGGCGGAAGGATCGCTGGAGCCCAGCGGGTCGAGGCTGCGGTGGCTGGGAGTGGCCACTGCACTCCAGTCT